GATGGGAGAACATACTTGCAAATTGTGTATCTGATGAGGGACTGGTATCCAAAACATGTAAAGAACTTTTACAATCCAACAATAAAAAGCTAAATAATCCGGTTTAAAAATAGGCAAAGGACTTGAATAAATATTTCTCCAAAGAGGTATAAAAATGGACACTAAACATATAAAAAGATGCTTAACATCATTAGCCATCAGGGAAATGCAAATCAAAGCCACAATGAGATATTACTTTACACCCACTAGGGTCGCTATAATCAAAAAGATATACCATAACAAGGACATGGGGAAATGAGCACGTTCATACATTGCTAATGAGAACATTTCCACTGCTATGGAAAACAGTCTGGCAGTTACTCAAAAAGTCAAACACAGAGTCACCATAAAACTCAGCAATTCGACACCTATAGATATACCCAAGAGAACTGAAATCATATGCCCATGCAAAAACTTGTACACAGCTGTTCCTAACAGCATTGTTTATAAGAGACAAAAGATGGACATGACCCAGATGCCAATCCACTGAAGTGTGGATAAACAAAATGTTGTATATATATGCAATGGAATATTATTCTGCTATAAAAATGAGTTAAAGTTCTGATTCATGCTATAAATGGATGAACCTTGAAAACGTTAGGCAAAGTGGAAGAAGTCAGACACAAAAGGCCGCATATTGTATGACTCCATTTATTGAATGTCCAGAATAAGAAAAGCTATAGAGACATAAAGTAGATTCGTGGTTGTGGGGGGAGATAGTGGGGGGAGGAGGGTAATGGGGAGTGACTGCTGATGGGGTATGGAGCTTTTGGGGGATTTAATGAAAAGATTCTGGAACCAGATAGTTCACGATGTTGCACAGATTTTAAAATATAGTAACAATCACTAAATCATACACTTTAAAAGGGTGGTGGTGTATAAATTATGTGACATTAAACACACACACACACACACACACACACACACACCAGAAATCCAAATCAAAAAGTGAAAGAGGGAGACGGTCTTGATCCTGCTGCCTAGAAGGATCGTGGGTGTCTTGTGACGGTGCAGCTGGAGAAGTGAGGCAAGTCTGTTCATCAGGGAGCCCCTGTTTTAAGTGTGCCTTGCAGAGTGAGGGTCCTAATAATAGATCTGGACCATTTTCCTCATAAATAAAAAATCAGTAACGTAAAAAGCAGTTTGGTTGAAATGCTTTATGTTTCTTTCTAAACTCTTTCAAAGTAAAATAAATGTCTTTCTGGTTATGAATAGGTTTGCTGGAGCGTGAAGGTCCCCCCATGCAGAGGCCTTTCTCTGGGGCTGGAAGGAGCCACACGGGGGCAGTGTCTGTCTGCCACTGCTGCCCACACTGCCTGCTGGGGGGCTGGGAAGTGGGCCTGGTCCCAGAGCGAGATTCGAAATGTTCGCGGAGGGGCGTCTCTGGAACCCTCGGGGAAAACCTAATGCCAGCTCATGTCAGATGATTGAAAGGAATTGTGTTCTGTTGTTTGTTATACTGTCAGATGTGATCGCTGGATTGGGGTAATATTTTAAAATTTTTACATTTTAATGTCTCCTAGAATATTTAAGGATAAAATGTGTCTGGGCTGTGCTGGAAAACACTTGCGCAAAGGAAAAAAAAAGAGATAAAGCAGATATGACAAAATGTTAATACTTTTAAAATCTAGCCGACGAGTATATGTTTTCTTATAGATAGATAGATAGATAAAGATATATCCATATATCTCTAACCTATGTAGCTAATATACATATCCATATAGGTACACAGATATAGATATCTAATCTATAGCTATCTATCTAATATCTGTATCTATGTGAGAAAATATTAAATGGATTCTCCTATACCTATATCTGTGTTATATCTAATATAGCCATCTAAGAAAATGTTAAATGGAACCCCACATACTCATCAGCTAGATTTGAAAGGTATTAACGTTTTATTAATAAATATCTATACCTATACCTCAATTTATATCTTTCTAAATATGAAGATTTTCCATTGAAAAAGTACCTGCATGGAAGTGCACATTCAAAGTGTTTTTCCCACTTAACTCATTACTTCTAAATGATTTTGCTCTCCTTGTTGTTTTTTTAAGATTTTATTTTATTTATTTTAAAAATGTTTTTATTTGTTTATTTTTGAGAGAGAGAGAAATAGCACAAGCGGGGGAGGGAAAGAGAGAAAAAGAGAGAATCCCAAGCAGGCTTTGGCTGCATTGTCAGCGCAGAGCCCGCGGAGGCTCAAACCCATGAACTGTGAGATCATGACCTCAGCTGAAGTTGAGTGTTTAACTGACTGAGCCACCCAGGTGCCCCTAAAAATTTTATTTTTAAGTAATCTCCACACCCAATGTGGGGTTCAAACTCACCACCCTGAGATCAACAGTCACGTGCTCCACCAACCAAGCCAGCAGGTGCCCCAATTTTGTTCTCTTTGAACAAAAATACGGGATGTTATGATCCCGTCGCTTTAGAAATGAAATCGAATAATGGGATTTAGAAGCCCTATAGATTTTTGTTGTAAGAATTGTTTTGAAGCCCTATAGATTATTGAGATGAACATAAAAATAAGATCAAACTCCAAAATGCCTCAGCTTTTTGTCCGGTGGCCAGGGCACTAGCCTGAGCTGATAGCCTGTTGTGAACAAGGGACTCACTGTCGGATTATCTACCCGTGGCCAAATCTTAAAAACTGGCAGCCTACACTTCTCAGAAGGGGGCTGGCTGAATTCTGGGGACTGCTGTGCCACCGTATAAAGTCACGATGCAGCCTGGTGGGAAGCCAGTGGCTGAGTGGGCTGGGATCAATCAGCACAAGCCAGGAGCAGGGAAACGTGCAATTAGGTAAAACGCATTCTGTGCCATGCAGAGCGGGTAGTTGGCTGTTCCTCTGCTCGGCACTTCCCTGCTTTCCTCCTGCCGCCTCACCATCTGAGGCTTCCTGAGTAAGGACTTACTGGTATTTGAACAGTCGGCCTCCCTTCCTCCCTTAACGTGAAGACAGGTCGGGCAGGTCACTGCCTGGTCCTGGAACGGGGTCCTCGTGGCAGATGCTCATTTGTTTTTGAGTAAGGGAAGGGTCAGGGAATCGCTAGTGATTTTCATTTTTTTCTTTATGTTTTCCTTTTGGGTTTCAGATTTTCTATAAAGAAGACATTTTATACTAAAAAAAAAAAAAAGAATAAATGCTGCTTTAAAAAGTAAGTGTGTGTGGAGCAACAGGAACTCTCATCCACTGCTGGTGGGAATGCAAAACACTACAGTCACTTTGGAAGACAGCTTGGTGGTATCTTACAAAACTAAACATACTCTTAACCCATGACCCAGCAACCACGCTCCCTGGTATTTACTCCAAGGAGTTGAAAATGTATGTCTACACAAAAACCTGCACGTGGATGTGTATAGCAGCTTTATTCACAATTGCCAGAACTTGGAGGCCACCAAGACGTCCTGCAGGAAATGAATGGTCCATCCAAACAGTGGAATATTTCTCGGCACTAAAAAGAAATGGGTTAGCAAGCCATGAAAAGACGCAGAGGAACCTTAAATGCATATTACCAAGTAAAAGGAGCCAATCTGAAAAAGCTATATACTATATGATTCCAAGCATATGGCATTCTGGAAAAGGCAAAACCGTGGAGACAATACAACGATCAGTGGTTGCCAGGGAGAGTACAGAGGATTTTTAGGGCAGTGAAACTAGTCTGTATATTATAAAGATGCATGGGATGTACGATACCAAGACTGAGCCCTAACGTTAACTATGGACTTTGGGTGACAGTGACGTGTTACTGTATGTTCATTAATTGTGACAAATGTCGCACTCCGGTGGGAGATGTTGATAGTGGGGGAGGCTGTACGTGTGTGGGGACGGGGTGTGTGTGGGAAATCTCTGTGCTCTCTGCTCAATTTTGCTGGGATCCTAAAACTGCTCTAAAAAAGAGTCTATTAAAACTTTTTAAAAAAGTAAATATGAGGCTCAGAGAGGCTGGCTCACAGTGTGGGGTTGCTAAGGTAGGTCCCAGGCACAGAGTGAGACCGTGCATGCTGTCCCCACATGTCGGGGAGAAGAAGGCTTGCTGAGCCAATGGAGTCTGCAGAGAGCCGCCTCTGAGAATGTGGATGTGCTGGCCATTCCCACGCATCCCTGTGCGTGCCAACGGCCCGTTTGTTGCCTCACCAGACCTCTCTGGCACGGTCACTTCAGGTCACCGGCAGGCATACTCTTTGCTGCAGATCAGAGGGAGAACTGACCTGAGGTGGGGGGTAGCTAGCATGAGGAAGGCCCAGGAGGAAGTTCTCCCTCTGAAAGGCCTTGTCCCTTTCCTGCAGGATATGAGCCTTCAGGAGCTGTGGCTGGCCGGTGCCCCCCAGGTTTGCTGGGCGGGGAGCCGAGGGGGAGGGAGCCCTGAGCATGCAGACCCTGCCAGCATCGGGAGAGGATGCTGTGGGCAGTGGAAGGGAGGGCACAGCTAGGCGGTGCTCAGACCTGACCCTAGGGCTGCGTGGGCTGCAGAGACAACCTCATGTGGAAGGTCATGCCAAGTCCACAGTCTGGTCTGCTCTTGTCACCTGGAACATTCTGTTTTCCTTTGCCTGTGATCCTGCAGCCACCTGGACTGCTCTCCCATGTTGGTGGGGAGGGTGGGGGCAGGGGAGCAACCACTCTAAAGTAGTGACTTGCTTTCTTCTCTAGGTCAAGGGGCCCATCCCTGTGCCTGGTGTGTTCCGGGTGCCTGGTAAGGACTCTGCTGGGTGTAGAAACAGCCTATGTGGGCTAGAGTCTGGGGGGTGGAGGATATGGGGCCTCGGAGAAGCCCCTGGAGGTGGCCAAGACTGGGGGCTGGGCCTGCTTTCTCAGGAGGAGCTGGGCTCTGCCGTCTGGGTCCAGGGGCAGAGCACACGGCTGTAGGACCAGCCAGGCCTATAGGGCAGCTGCACGTTCCCCTTCTTAGTGGAAATCCCTCTCTTTCAGCCATACATTGTGTTTGACTCGGTGTGTTTTTCTTGGCTTTGATGAACAGGATTAGTTACAGTCTTTGTAATTTTTGGAATTGAAGGTATTTTTAACAAATGCAGCCAGTATCGTGGGAACATCCTGAAGTTGCTGGCGTGTCTGTAGTCTAAAATCAACCCAGTCCCACCCCCAACCTTCCTCCCTGAAGAGTCAAAGTCACTCAGTGGGATGTCTATTTTTGTTCATTTCGATTTCAGACTGAAACAGGGATAGAACTGAGGAAACTGGCCTTCCCCAACTGTTATTCCTTCTTTCTCCTGCCCCAGATCTATGAAAGCGAGGTAGAAGGTAAAAAGGACCAGACTGTATGGCACATCCAGGCAGCGCAAGTGGGTGGGCCAGTGGCCCTGCCCTTCCCAGTCAGACATCGATGCCCCCACTCGTCAGTTGACTGCATGCTCTAGCTGGAACAAGCAAGACAAAAATGAAATACATCAGCAATCACTAAGTTATGGAGGTGCATTAGTTATCAACTGCTGCACAACAAATTATCACACACTTAGCAGCTCAAAACAGCACAGATTTGTGATCCCACAGTTTCTGTGGGTCAGGAATTTGAGCATCAGCTAGGTCCTCTGCTTGAGGTCTCTTGTGAAGCTGCAGTCAAGGTGTTGGCTGGGGCTGTGGTCTCATCGGAAAGCTCCACCGGTGGGGTCCCCTTCCAAGCTCACTCACGGGGTCGATGGCAGGACATAGTTCCTGTGGACTGTTGGACTGAGGCCACCCTCAGTTCTTTGGCACATGAGCCTCCCCAACACATCAGTTTGCTTCATCAAAGCTAGCAAAAGGGAGAGTCCTGAGTTTTTTGTAATCTAATCCCAGAGTGACATCCTCGACATTGCCGCATTCTGTTGGTTAGAAAGCAGTTACTCAAGGATGAGGGATTGCACTGGCCATGCCTTCCAGGAGGGGAATCATGGGGCCGTCTTAGATGCTGTCGGCCACAACACAATGTAACAATGGTCATGCCCTTTGCTGGTGCATGTATTCATCTCATGGGTGTGGTAAGTGGTAACCTTTGCAGAAAGTGCTTTGGTTCCTCATCCAGAGGGGGAGCACCGAGAACGAAGTCCTGACTCCGGACCCTCTAGCAATCCAATTAACCACTCTGACCCTCAGTCTCTTCCTCTTTAGAATGGGGATCATGGCAACTGTTGTGCCATTTTGTGACAGTTTTAGATTTGATGTGTTAAGCATTAAGCATTAAAGAGCTGGTCAAGGCAGCTGACTCATAGCAGGCACCCAGAAATTCTTGCTGAATGAATGAATGAGCTTCCTGTTGATACAGTGGGGACAAAGCCCTGTTTGGAGTCTTTGGTAGCAAGAAATACATGAGGATTCCTTCAGAATATTTGGATTCTGAAACCCACTCCAGCTCCTGGGGAGTAGGGGCAGATCAGAGGCCCTAGCCTGGACTTGGGCTTTTATTAGTCAGGAATAAAGGTGTCTGACTGCTGGCACACACTGTCCAGAGAAGAAGGGACAGCGCAAATGACAAAGGAACAGACACATTTTTCTGGCTTCTCTTAAAAAAGAAATCTTATCTGATTTTGAAAGTGATGTTGGTTGGTGGCAGAACTCTAGCGGAGGAGCTGACCTAGGTGTGTCAGAATAGTGGGGTGGGATGAGCTATACCAGGGCACAGGCAAGGCCCACCCAGACCTGCCCCTTGGAGCCTCAGGGAGCAGAGCTTGACAGGAGGGGCTGGGACAGCTCAGGGGTGATTTTGACTTTCACTCTGATCATTAAGCACCGTGAATGCATCATCCCTTGTGGGTGAGGCTGTAACCTGGGGTGTTTTCCTATGTTTGCTCTCCCTCAGGTAATGTCAACACCATTTTCCAGTCACTTGTATTACTCTGACCACCCCATGCCCCTCGCGATGTGAGACTGCTGTCATCAGATTGGTGCATGGCATTCTAGGCCTTTTTCTCTGAATTTCCATACTTACATATTTAATAACAATACAGTTTTGGATTTTTTTTTAATAAAAATGGCATCCCGCCACACACGGCATCCTGTGGCTTACCAGTTTTCTACTTGATAATATGTCTTAGTATCTTTCCATGACCAGACATGTTGCTGATGCACATTCTTTTCATTGCTTCATGATGTTCCAAGCAATGGAAACACAGTGTTTCATTTGCCTCCCTCTATGCATGAACGTTTAGATTGCACCCAGAGAGATTTTGCTTTTATAAGCAACACTGCCTCTCTCTCTCTCTCTCTCTCTCTCACACACACACACACACACGCACACGAGTCTTCTTTCTGTAGGGGAAGTCAAGAAGCAGGACTGCTGGATCCTGAGGGACGCATATTTAAAATTTTGGTCATATTAATAATACCATATTGCCCTCTGACATGTCTGTATTAATTACCTTCTTACCAGTGATGTATCTGAGCACCATTTCTCATCATCCTTGCTATTACTCAATATTCTCTAACTTTTGGGGTTTTTTTACTGTTCATTTATTTTAGAGAGAGAGAGAGAGAGAGAGCGCGAGCAAGTGGGTGAGGGGTAGAGAGGGAGGGAAGCACAGAATCGGAAGCAGGCTCCAGGCTCTGAGCTGTCAGCACAGAGCCCGACGCGGGGCTCACCAACTGTGAAATCATGACCTGAGCCAGTCAGCGGCTTAACCGACTGAGCCACCCCGGCGACCCGATTTGGATCTTTTTTAGATGACCCTTTGATCTGAATATAGTTTGTTCAGCTTTGTTAGCATTTGAAGAATTCATTCTATACCTGGTGCCTGTCAAGGGCCGGGGTCCTGGGAATATCATTACTAAAGGCTAGGAGTGTTCATTAGTGATGTATTACCTGAATCAACAGGGAAGGGGAAGTGGTCAAGAAAATAAAAAAACAGAAACATGTAGAGAAGCCCATGGCAGGGGTGAGAGCATTCTTCATGCCATCTTCTGCCCACGGACCATATGGTCCTAGGACCCCTGCTCCATGTTCAGGATCATGGTGGTGACACTGGCTCTGCTCTGTGGCAGCACTGGTCACAGGTTCCTGGGACAGTCTTTTATGAAGTCTCTTCACAGGCTCAACTCCCGACCTTCATGTACATCAGGATCCTCGAGGTAAGTGTAAGTAACAAGAAGAAACCCCCATCCACAGTGAGACTAAGTGACCCAGATTCATCTATTATAATCACTCACTTTATCAGAACAGAGAATCCCCAACTGAAGCGATGCACAACTAGTGATTCATTTGGTCATTATCCAGAAAGAAGAAAATCTCTAGGTCTTTGATTTATCCCCTTAACTGATTTATAAATATCAGCAATTGACAAGCCTACTTAAGCCCAGACACAAAAGATTTTTGTAGACGGTTGTTATGCCAATCTTTGGGCATGAACATGAGTATTTTGTAACCTAAAAGGCACACGATGATCGAAACATAACACAGTTTATTCATCATTGACCTAAGCTGAAATTCTCTTTTGATTGGACGTTTTTTCCTTCTTCTCTTTTCACCCTGAACTTAGTAAACAACAGAACTCTGACAATAGATTTGAATGAATTTAAATTTAGAGGATGACAAACAGATCAAATTATTCCTAGTGTCCTTGCTTTAACAAGATGAAGGAATGGGTCTTTGTTTTAGGCAGTGGAGATGCCAGGAAATCCAATCCAATTATAGTTTAGGCAAAAAAAAAAAAAAAAAAAAAAAAAAAAAAAGACACATTCATAATTCTGTTCTGATTTGAGAATGATGATGTCAAAAAGTGTTGTCAGAGAATATAATATTTGCTTTAAAGCAAGAAATAGTGACCCATAATATTTTGAAAACATAATAATATATAATATTATTAAAATAGTATATAATATTATTAAAAACATAATATTTTGAAAACAGTAATAAATGTTAATGATTACAGGGAACTTTGACTTTTTTAAAAACAAAAAAACTGTAAAAATTTAATATTATGTTAAGGCACAGAGACATAACATAATATTTTTGTATATTTCTCATACAGATCTTTACACACACACACACACACACACACACACACACTAGTTCTCCGTAAGCCCTCCTCATACCTCCACGAGCACTGACATTGTTTAATGCATTGTCCTCTGGCAGGGGAGGAACCCATCTTGCTGTCTGGCAGGACCAGCCAATTCCCAGAAAGGTGCCCAGCCTCCCCACCTTTCCCAGCCTTTCCTCCAAATCCTGGTGCCCCCTCGCTATGTCCAGGGCTGAGGTCTCCACTTGCTCTTGGTGCTACTTTGTTCCCTCCCTGCCCCATGCTCTGGGGCCCAAATCTGCTCTTTTCAGTCTCTTGCTGTCATTTTAATGGGGGTTAAGGATGGAGCCAGGATAAAGCTGGCTATGTTAAAACCTGAAGTTCCAGTCATTTCTTCTACTAGTTTAACGGTTTTGCTATGTCCCTAGAGCTCTTCAGTCTACAGTTCAATTTTCTGTGGGATATATGACTGAAATCTTTATTTTTTTTCCAAATGGCTGGACAGTCATCCCAATTTTATTGACTAGTATAACCATCTTTCTGCTCACATGATTAACACTCCATAGAATATCAAGCACATGTGTATCTTTGTTCACGTGGGCACATTTTCTGGGCTTAGATTTTCTGAACTGGAAATTACAGGGTCAAAGACACCAGCCTTTGGAAGCTCCTAGGCATGCTACCAACCACTTTCCAAAAAGATTGCACCCACATGGGAGAGAAGTGTCCATCCTTGGGTATTCTAATTTTAAAAAAGTTTCTATTGTGGATAGGCCAAGTATCTCAACATTGTTTAAATTTATATGTCTGTAAAAATTAGTAAGAGGCCACTTCACAACCATTAGGATGGCAATTATAGTAATAAGGAGGAAGAGACAGAGAAGAAAGAGAAAAAGAGGAAGAGGAAGAAGGAGGAGAAGGAAGAGAAGGAGGAGGAGACAGAGGAGAAGAAGGAGAAAAAGAGGAAGAGGAAGAAGGAGGAGGAGGGTTTTTGATAATGTCGAGAAATTGGGACCCTGTACTTTGCCAGTGGGAATGTAAAACAGTGCAGTCACTGTGGGGAACAGTATGGTGGTTCCTTAAAAAGCTAAACATAAAGTTGCCATTTGATCCGGCAATCTTACTTCCGGGTATATGTACAAAGCAATTGAAAGCAAGGACTCCAACAGATACTTGTACACCCATGTTCATAGCAACATTATTCACAATAGCCAAAAGGCAGAAACGATCCAAATGACCATTGACAGAAGAATGGATAAGCAAAATATGTATCCATACAATGGAATATTATTCAGCCTTAAAAACGGAGGAAGTCCCAACATGCTACCAGGTGGATGAACTTTGAGGATATGGTGTTAAGTGAAATAAGCCAGTCGCAGAATGACCAATACTGTATGATGCAATTACTGGGGTAGTCAAATTCCTAGAGACAGAAAGTGGGATGGTGGGGCCAGGGGCCAGAGGAAGGAGGAGGGGAGGACGTTGTTTAAAAGGGACAGAGTTTCAGTTTTGCCAGATGAAGAGAGTTCTGGAGATGGGTAATGGTGATGGTTCCACAACAGTGTGAGTGAACTTAATGCCACTGAACTGGACACTTAAAAACGTCTAAAATTATAAATCTTTTGTATATTTTACCACAGGGGGAAAAAAATCAGTGAGTGGAAACTTTCTTCAATGATGATTAGACAACCCTATTTGCTTTTTATGTGAGTTTTCACACTCACTTATGCCTAAGCTCCCAGTTATCTGGAGGAGGGGAGGGGTTCATTTCAGCAATCCTGGGCTGTGGCCAGACTGGGCCTTCTTCAGGCCCTGTGCAGGGTCCGAGGAGGTTGGTGGAGGAATGAAGGGGAGGATGGTGCAGAAATTGAAGAGGCTCCTGGGCAGTGTTGGGAGGGAGGAGCCCTGGGGAGGACTTGGGCTTCACCAGGCTTAGCATCACCAGACCCAGATGGATGGAGACAGGTTGCTAAGGAGGGTCCCTTCTCTGAGAGGGGTCCTGACCTCCAGAACGTGTTCAAAAACACCCAAGCATCTGGCCTCTGGATGTCGAGCTGCCCCTCTCAGGGCCCCAGCTGGAATGAATGCCCAGCAAGGCACTCTCGGGTCTCACTCCCTGTGTTCTGAGATCCGGGCCATCTGGAGTCCTGCCACCTGGACAATGAATCTCTGAGACAAGTGGGGCTCCCTCATGCATCACAAAACCTTGGAGGAGGGTTCTAGAAAGTATATGCATTTCCCCTGTATACATCTCCACCTCTAGTACCTGCTCCAGGGGTCTCAGCCCACAGCCCTGAGGTCCTAGGCCTTAATAAGGCCCCTGCACATTTCTAGTCAGGCCCTGCCACCAGGGGGCAGTATAGCCTGCAGGAGACTACTGTCCTCAGAGCCCTGGTTCTAGTCCAGAACTGAGCCCCTTGGGTGGACCATCCCCAAGGCCCTGGCAGACACTCTTAGCTTAGATCTGGAAGTCATTCTCTATTGTCCCAGTTATCTAAGAGACTGGGAACCTCTCAGGTGTCTGCTAATGGGGAGGCAGCCAGAGGAGGCCAAGGCACAAGTGGGGTTTATTCCTGGGATACCACGATACCAGGATACCAGGATACCAGGCTGGTTCACGATTCAAAAAGTAATCAAAGTATCCTACCATATTGACATGCAGAGAGGAAAGCTCACATGATCCTATCAAATAATCATAAAAAGCATTTGGAAAAATTTAACTTTTATTAATGATAAAAATTCTAAAAGTAAGAATAAAGGGGGAACTTCCTCAGCTTGGTAAAGAGCATCTACAAAATACCTACAGGTAACATTAAGACTAAATGTTCTTCCTCCAAGGTCAGGAATAAGGCAAGGATGTCTGCCCTCACCAATCTTATTCAATCAAGTGCCAGAAGTCCTAGCCAGTGCAATAAGGCAAGAAAAGGAAATAAAAGTCACTAATATAGGAAAGGAAGAAATAAAAGTGCCCCTATTTGCACATGACATAACTGTCTTCAGGGAAAATCCTAAGGAATCTACCAAAAAACCCTCTGAGAACTAAAAAGTGAATTTAGCAAGGTCACCCAGCATACACATCCTTCCCAAATTAATTATCTTTCTATAGGCTGGCAGTAAATACATAGATGCTGAAATTTAAAACAAATACAATGCCATTTAAAATGCTCAAAAAGTGAAGGGGGCACCTGGGTTGCTAAGTCAGTTAAGCGCCAGACTTCAGCTCAGGTCATGATCTCACAGTTCATGGGTTCAAGCCCCACATCAGGCTCTGTGCTGATATCTCAGAGCCTGGAGCCTGCTTCAGATTCTGTGTCTCCCTCTCTTTCTACCTCTCCCCCATTCTCACTCTGTCTCTCTCTCTCTCTCTCTCTCTCTTTCAAAAATAAATAAACATTAAAAAATAAAATAAAATGCTCAAAAAGCGAAAACTTGGGTGTACATCTGAGAAAACATACACCAAACGTGGACACAGAAAAGTGCACAAGGCCGAGAGAAGAAAAAAGAACTGAGTTGTTTATATGCACAACAACCTAGATGAATCGCCAGAGAATTATGCCTAGTGAAAAAATCCACTCCTGAAAAGTCACACACTAGATAATTCCATTTCCATTTATATGACATTGTTGAAATGGCAAAATTACCAGAATGGAGAGCAGATTAGTGGTTGCCAGGAGTCAGGAGGTGGGAGGAGGGTAGGTGTGGGTATAAAAGGGCCACAGGAGGGAGCCTGTGGTGACCTGACACCACCAATGTCAATATCTGGGCTTTGATGTTGTGCTGCAGTTTTGCAAGATGTTACCACTGGAAGGGACTGGAGAAAGTGTGCAAGGGGGCCTCTCTGTATTCTTACAACTGAATGCCAACCTATAATTATGTCAAAAAAATGTTTCATTAAAAAAGTTTTTTTAAGTGCAGAACAGGTAACAATGTGTCATTCGGATCAGAACAAATCTCAAGCATGCAGACTCTGGGACTGGTGTTCATCTAACTGCAAGCCTAGCAATAAACTAGTATCTGCAGTTTTTGAAAATTAGAATCTGAGGCTACCCTCAGAGACCCCATCAGGAGCTCTCGTGAAGCACCCAGACATTGTGTTGTGTTTGTTTGTTTGTTTTTAATTTTTTTAATGTTTATTTATTTTTGATAGAACACGAGAGGGGAAGGAGAAGAGAGAGAGGGGGACACAGAATCCGAAGCAGGCTCCAGGCTCTGAGCCGTCAGCACAGAGCCCAATGTGGGGCTCGAACCCACAGACCGTGAGATCATGGCCTGAGCTGAAGTCGGTCGCCCAACCTACTGAGCCACCCAGGCGCCCCCACACATTGTATTGTTAAAGCGTTTCAGCTTCACTCTGGGGCAAGGGCCATGGGTTTGTATTCCTTTGTGCTCAGTCCTTGCTCCTCTCTCCTTGTCCCCACCCCACCGTTGCCCCCTCAGAGCTCTGCTCTCTCTGCCCCTTCCTCTCTGTGGCCTCCATGTTCCTGCAAAACTTGCCTCTCCTCCTCCTTCAGGTTCCCTTCAAGGAGTCCGGCTTCCCTTTGGGGCCTACAGAGCCCTAAGCAATGGCATGGCACATGGGTGCCCCACGGAGGCTCATCACCTTGCACAAGAGGGGAGGCAGTGCATCTCCCTCCCCCTGTGACAAGGACATCCTCGTCAAGGAACCCATTTATCTTCTGCCCTCCATTTGGGCCAGACTCCCTCTTGGGTCATACTTGCTAAAGAAATGGGTTGCAACACAGCCCTGTGTGTTTCCACACATCTGGGGAGGTGGCTGGTCTTCCGCCACAGGAACCTGTTGGGGAGGCTGGAAGGTGCCTCTTGGCATCCCAGCGCACACGTCGCGACCAGCCTGCCTCTCAGGCTCCCCTCCCCACGACTGGGTGTTGGAATCACAGCCACGCCCTGTGCAGAGTGCTCCTACCTGCTATCTGCCTGTGGAGCCCTGTGGCCTGTGTGCATGGGCACAGGAATCTGCTAGGCGGACTGGCATCTGGCAGGAGATTGGAGGAATGAATGTCTCAGCCACAGCGCCCTTGAGTCTGCAGTCGGCTTTTTGATTTATGGTCTCAGCCAGCGTGTGTAGAAACCACAGCAGGACCGACTTTGGTGGATCCAGCTGCTGGGGTTGCTTCATGCTGGGTCCTCACTCTGCATCTCCCTATCCATCCCTGCCCTGCCCTCCTGCCCTCCTTCCAGGCTCGTTGTCCCCTATCTCCCCCCACAGCCCGCTCTCTCTCTAACTGGCCCCTCGGCCTCAGCCATCTGGCATCGCCCTGCCTCCCAGGGATAGGGGGAGCTGCTGCCACAACCAAGTTATTCCCCCTAAATCCTTGGTCTGCTCATGCCACCCACCCCAGAACCACCCTGGTCTGTCTCGCCATGTTACAGCCTTAGGTCCTTGACCCCCTCAGTCCAGGCCCACACGCTGCTTCGCCAACCTCCTCTTTTCCAAGGTTCAAGTGCTGAACCGAGAACCCTTCCCAAGTGCTCTGTCTGCTGCGCCTCGGCCTTCTCTGGCTTGGAGGCAGGGTTTGCTGGCCTCCTGGGACTTGTAGCTGTTGTAGGGTGCTCGATGGTATGTCATATCCCCCAGAACCGATGCCCCCAAGGGCAGAGGTAGGATGGATGTGCTGAATCAGGCCTTGGGAGCCCTGCCCTCAGCCCTGGGGCCCCGGGCCCTCCTCCCTCCTGGCTCACCAGAACTGTCTGTCTCCAGACCCACACATTGGCTTTTGTCTCTGTGCCCTCTGGGTTCCCTGTGGCCCTCCTTTGCCAGCTCCTCTTCCTCTGGCCACCCTCTGCTCACGGGCAACCAGGGACCAACTTGCACCAAGAGGAAACACCAGGTGCTGGGAGTGGTCAGTGTTGCTCCATGGGTGGGGGAGGGGTCAGGGGTCACAATGGCAATACATGAAGTCAGAGGGGGTCCTGTCTCCCTGGGTTAGGGGACAGACCCCACTGTCACATGCCTCCCCACCCTGGCTTCTGCAGACGCAGGAGGTGATGGTGCAGATAAGGCTCAGATTCTGATGTGACACCCCTTGCCCTGTTCCCACTTAAATCAACGTTTCCAACTGAGCACAGCCCATCACATGTGCTTGGAAGCTTGTTTCAGTCAGTGCTGTCCCGTCAAGGCCAAACCACAGCCTGGTCCTTAAGTGCAATGTTTAGAGCCCAAGGTGCTGAGTCTTCATGGGTCAGGGTGGGAACCTGATCGTGCTGCTTGGGAGGGAACGGGTGCCTGGGGCAGGGAGGCCTCTGCAAGACAGCATGGAACTGAGTGCTGGCCAGAGGGTCTCACCCCTGGTCCCTCCCTGAGCCTGATGTCCTGTATGGTCAAGTCAGCTTCTTCTTGATCTGCGCCAGCAGAGGGCTGGCTGTCTCCTGCAAAGGACCTCAAACGGTGTGGCAGATCAGGGCCACAGCCTCCCCTCTTAGTGGCCAGACAGCCCCAGTGGGCACAGGCTCCTTCTGGGGTGTGCTGGAACTTACAGAAAAAGAAAGTACAGCGAGCTCCTTAACGCTTTACCTCATTTACCACCTGTTTCTGTTTTGTCTCATTTCCTTTCTTTCTGTATAAATACGCATGGCCCCATCACACTGCTGATGAGTCTGGTTTTTCAGCCCTAAAACTGCGGTGTGTTTCACTTAAGAGCAAGAACACTCAGCTCGAGTATTCTCCCCCCCGCCCCACCCCCGTTTCACCCACTGCCCTCCCTTCCTTCTGGATATCCACGCATCTGTTCTCTGTATCTATGAGTTCATTATTATTTTTTTTTAATTTTTTTTTCAACGTTTATTTATTTTTGGGACAGAGAGAGACAGAGCATGAACAGGGAAGGGGCAGAGAGAGAGGGAGACACAGAATCAGAAACAGGCTCCAGGCTCTGAGCCATCAGCCCAGAGCCCGACGCGGGGCTCGAACTCACGGACCGCGAGATCGTGACCTGGCTGAAGTCGGACGCTTAACCGACTGCGCCACCCAGGCGCCCCTCTATGAGTTCATTATTTTTTTGTTTTAGCTTCCACATATTAGAGAGATCGTACGGAATTTTTCTTCCCTGCCTGGCTTATTTCACTTTGCATAATGCCCTCAAGCTCCATCCATGTTGTCTCAAATGGCAGGATTTCCTTCCTTCTTGTGCCTGAATAATATTCCATTGTGTACATATACAATAATTTTTGTAATCCATTCATCCATTGATGAACATTTAGTTGGCTTCCATACCTTGGATATTGTAAATAGCACTGCAATGAACATAATGGTGTAGATAACTCTTCAAGTTAGTGTTTTCATTTTCTTCAGATAAATACCCAAAAGTGGGCTTGTTGGATCCTATGGTAGTTCTATTTTAATTTTTTGAGGACCCTCCATGCTGTTTTCCATAAAGCTGAACCAATTTACATTCTCACCAACAGTGCAGAAGGGTTCCCTCTTCCTCACATCCTCAGCAACACTTGTTATTTCTAGTATTTTTTGGTAGCAGCAGTCTAACAGGTGTGAGGTGATATCTCATCGTGGTTTTGTTAAGTATTTGATTCAGGAAATTTAACATTGATGCAACACTGTTATGGATACATAGTTCATATTCAAATTCCACTAGTTGTACCAATAATATTCTCTCTAGCTATTTTCTCCCGTCCAGGACCATGCCCTGAATTTTGCTGTCAGGCGTTTGGAGTGACCCCTTGGCTACTGTGTCCCTGACCTTAGCATCTGTGAGCACAGGCCACCTGTTCTGCAGCATGTCCCTTGCTTGGTATGTCTGACCATTTCTTCCAGGTCAGATGTTCATGGCCACACATTATGAGTGACACCGAGTCCCTTCCCAAAGGCCCAGAACACTCCAGGCAAAGGTGATGCCTGCCAGGTGTTCTCGCCTGTGCCAATGATAAAGGAGCCAATGGGAGAAACTCTGAGGCTTAGTAAACATCTCCCCGGGACCTCTCCCCCAACCATTTTCTAGCACCTATTGGCAATTCTTGCCTGAGTCAATTATTACTACTGTGATTGCAGGATAATGGTCTTTAAACTCCTTCTCTTGTTCTCCATTTATTGGTTGACATTCTACTGCAAGGAAGAATTGTTGGTTCCCGGTCTCATTTGTCTGTTGCGATATGGGCTTGCAGGTTTTTGCTTTATTCAGGAAGTTATAATCCGTTACTGTCATTGCTTATACTGATGCTGTCAGCCTGGCTCCCGCGTCCTCCAACATGTCCCCATCCTTTTTGAGCACTTCCTTGCTCTCTGCCACTACAATCTGCTCCAAATCCAGCTTACACTTTCACTGCCCTAGCCCTGGATTCCACCACTTCTCCGGGGTTCCTTTAGAGCAGAATGTTTCTTCAACACAAGGTCTAGGAGCTAGGTGTGCTCATTTTCACCAGGGTGTCCTCTGGGTGCTAGAAAGAAGTATAATGAATAGCACCATGAGTTCACGCTGTCACTTCTAGCCCCACCCTAACTTTGCGGATTCCTCCTTGCGTCCACCAGACCACATCTGCACCACCTCCCCAACTTCTGACAGAATCCCTGTATTTCTTATCTAGTTTGTCTTCTGAACACACAAGACAGTTCTAGAATTGCTATACCCACCACCGCAAATGGCAAACCTACAAAGCTTGGTCTGAATTTCTTCTTGTCTTTAGACTGAGTCTGTAGTGACAGTATTGTGTTTAGAAATTAATTGAGTTTGTTTTTTGTTTTCATCTCTGTCGTTTTCTTAATCATTTGAAATATGGTTGGGTTTGGCTTTCCGTTTGTATTCAATTTTAGGGTACCCTATCCATTGTTCTTGACTGAATGTTACTTACGACTATAGCAAACGTTAGCAAGGTTTAAAATCAGAGCGATAGATATGGTTTCTTCTGCATCTATCAGGAGATAGATATCCTCACATGTGGTCTTATTTTTCTTTCTCAACGAAAGGTAGCATATTAATTATGCTTGTCAATGTAGTCTGGACCAACTTCTTATGGACCAGGAGGTCACCCCACCCCAAGACATTCCCCTGCATGGCTGCTGCTCTATGGTTCCGGATTATTCCCATAGTTGTAATGGCCAGTAATAACTATATTTGTTCCCATGCATTTCACACTGTTGGAGGTGTATCTTCAGGGCAAATTCCCAGAAGCAGGGTTGTAGATCCAAGGGTAAAGGCATATGCGGTCCCATTAGATACCCCAGATTCCCCTTGGCACAGAGAAATTTGCAGCCTGGGCTTGTGAGGTGCATCTACCCCACAGGGAGCTGTCGTGTCAGCTGAGCCATCTCAGGGTGGGTCAATGAGCACTTTCGTCTTTGTAAATGAATTTGAGCATCTCTTTGTGCATTTAAGACCATGTTTATATTGCATGTTGCGTGTTGTCTATCTTTTGCCCATGTTCCTATCTGTCCCCACACTTGATTATTAAGAGTTCTTTATATACTAGGGATATTGGCACATAACCTGAAGGTACTCTCCATTTGTTATGTTTCATCCATCTCTACCTTTGCCAACTTTCAACACGGGCAGCATTGTTGTTTTTTTTTTTTCTCCACGTCATTGAATTTTTTTTTAATGTTTATTTATTTTTGAGAGAGAAAGAGCATGAGCAGGAGAGGGGCACAGAGAGAGGGAGACACAGAATCTGAAGAAGGCTCCAGCACAGAGCTGAGCTGTCAGCACAGAGCCTGACGCAAGGCCCAAACTCACAGACTGTGAGATGATGACCTGAGCTGAAGTCAGACTCAACCGACTGAGCGACCCAGCCACCCCCACGTCATTGAATTTTAATCGTTTCTTTATTGCATGGTGTTTCGAGTCTGTCTGCAAAGGAATCCAGCCATGTTTCCCCATCCTCTCTGTATGGTTTCATTGTTATGTTTAGAACTTTGCGTTGTTTGCAGTTTAATTTTGTGAAGGTATGAGGTATGCATCCAATTTTGCCTTTTCCTAAACGGCTTTAGGGGCGCCCAGGTGGCTCAGTTGGTAGAGCGTGAGACTTTGGCTCAGGTCATGATCTCAGTTCATGGGTTCAAGCCTCCCATTGGACTCTCTGCTGTCTGTGCAGAGCCTGCTTCAGATCCTCTGTTCCCCTCTCTCTCTCTCTCTGCCCCTCCCCCACTTGCACTCTCTCTCAAAAAGAAACTTAAAATAAATAAATGACTTTAGTGTTATTTATTTAAAATTTTTTTAAGTTTATTTTTATTAAGTTTATTTTTTTTAAGTTTATTTATTTTCAAAGAGACAGAGACAGGTAAGCAGGGAGGGGCAGAGAGAGAAGAGAGAGAGAATCCCAAGCAGGCTCCACACTGCCAGCACAGAGCCAGATGAGGTGCTCAAACTCACAAAACTGTGAGATCATGACCTGAGATCATGACCTGAGCCAAAACCAAGAGTCAGACGCTTAACCGACTAAGCCACCCAGGCACCCCATAGTGTCATTTGTTTTTAACAAGTCCGTCTTTCCCCTGCCTTTGTCATATACTGAATCTCCAAATGTTCCTTAATTTTCTATACCAGTAGAAATAGAATCCAGGCACATGTATAATTTTAAATTGTCTAAGAACCACATTAAAAAAATAACAAGAAACAGGTAAGATGAATCTTTTTTTTTTTTTTCTAAGTAGGCTTCATGCCCAGTGTGGAGCCCAACACGGGGCTTGAACTCACAACCCTGAGATCAAGACCTGAGTTGAGATCAAGAGTCAGATTCTCAACTGACTAAGCACCCCCAGTTTTAATATTTTTTAATTTCATGTAGCCAGAATATCATTTCAACATGTAGTCAATATAAGCGAATGATTGATGAGGTAACCTGACTTCTTTTGCTCACAAGCTTGGCTGTGTTATTCTCACAGCCCATCTACATCAGGACCAGCCACATCCCAGGGGCTCGGCGGCCACTCATGGCCAAGGACTGTGCTATCCTGTCCCTCCTGCCCTCCGGTTCGGGGACAGCCGTGCACTGTGGTAGTTATAAGGGTGCAGACGGTGTTTGCATGTCCCACAAGGATTTTATTCTTTCCATGTGGAGGCTAACTTTGCTCAATGCTGGTGCCTCTCTCCCCAGAGAATATCCTTATTTTTCATTAGGACCTGTCTTCTCGAAGCATCAGGGGCAGCTGGAATTTAGGTGAGAAAGCATGAGAAATTTCTATTTTGGGGGGAATTCAGTCTAGGAAAATGTATCTTTCCTTCATTTTGCTACTGGAGGTCTGTTCATCTGCTGGATACTGTAAAATGACTCCTTAATTTGAATACTGAATTTTCTTCTGATTCTCAAACCTCAAACCAGCTTTGTAATAGCTTATTTGGAAGTTTTCTGAAATGTAAAAATAAAAATAGAAGCCTTATTCTATGTCTTATTTTCTTTAATTAAGTGCCTGGCGTCTTGGGCTGCTGGAATACAATTCTGAATAAAATGAACTCTGGTTTTTTGGTTTTAACTCTTTTCTTAAAAGATGTGTCTGTGCTAACATCCCTGACTTTACACTAAGTAGATTTTAATTGCATTTCCACAAACCTTGGCTTTTTCTGCTTATTCCATTTCACTCTTTCCGCTGTGGCTAATCCTTCCCTATGTAAGATTCTTGCCCGGTAGAGGTCCAGATGCAGCTTTCTGCTGGGAGTCTGTGCTCTGGGTTTGAGCATCGCCTTGGGGAAGGCCAGAGTTCTTCCTGCCCTGCCTTCTGCTCAGAATTCCACAGCCTAAGCAAATATGTTTGGTCTCTTTGGTCTAGCCACTGGGGCCAGGCCGACCACACTGCCAGACTTCTGAGCGAAAGACTTGCAAGGTTAGGAGTGGGGGAAGAAAAACAAAATCGCCTCCTTCCCCGCTGACCTGGCTTGGTATGCAGACACTCGTCACCATTACTCAGCTCCTGACAGAACGGGAGCTTCAAGTTTTCATCTGGAGAATTGCCTGCGGGGCAGGGTTGCTGTGTCTGCATAAAAATAAAAAGTCGGTTTTCCTCCAGGGCCACCCGACTCCTCCTTGCCAAGCAAGCTCCCCGGAGTGGGGTGGGGCAGGGCAGCCTGGTCCTGGGGCTTTGCCTGTTTTCCTCCGCTTGGCCTCCCTTTGTTATGCCCAGAATTCGTGATCCCCAAAGACCACTAGGGAGCCGAGTCCGATGCAAAAGCAAAGAGCCTTTATTCGAGCTAGCTCGAGCTCAATCCCCTACCTGTACCGACACAGCAGTGGGATACCGGGGAGAGAGAGCGAGTTTCAAAAGGACAAAGGTTTTATTGGGGCCTAGGGGCAGTTGGTGAGGTAATGGCTATGGCCTCAGCTGATTGGCTGGGGAATGGTCCGAGTCCTCTTAGGCAGGTGAGGGGGGGAGTTACTCAGGGGAGGAGGTGTGGTCAAGGTGAAGGACACAGAACAAGATGGAGTCAGCCGGCTTAGGCCTGCCCTTTCATTCCCCCCTTGTCATGTAGCTTAGGGACCCAGTCATGGGACCGGCTGCATTTATGGTGACAAGGGGAACAGAGTTTGGAGGTTTACGCAAAGTTCTGGGAAGCAAGTGTCCCTGGGGTGGCTCTGGGAGGTCTGATTAAGTATTGTCCCCGAGCTGGTGTCTATGATCTGCCAGGTGATGTTTTGGGGGGTGTGGGACTCCCGGCAGCATGAGCAATGACAAGCAGAGTTAACAGAGTTACCAATATTAGGTGGGTCGAATGCGCTGTAGCTTGAGCTTGAGCGGGTTGTGTTGGTCCCGACTGATGGCCCATTGCGTGACGAAGTCCTTCTGTATCGAGGAGGGGTCCCCTGGCTGAGCGTGGGTGTGATGGACCCAGGTCGCGATGCTGTCTACCTTGAGAGCGGTGGGGGTTGTCAACACCACGATGTAGGGTCCCTTCCAGCGCGGCTCGAGAGTTTCTCAGTGGTGCCTCTTGACGTAGACCCAGTCTCCCGGCCTGTACTGATGAGGTGTCAGGATCGGGCCAGCCTCGTAGATGGCACGGAGGCGCGGCCAAATGTCCTCGTGCGCCCTCTGGAGCCCGCTCAAGGAAAGAAAAAGTTCTTGATCTTTAAACTCAGCAATAAGTTCAGCTCGAAGGCTGGGAATAACAGGGGGTGGCCTGCCAAACATGATCTCGTAGGGAGTAAAACCCAGAGTGTAAGGAGTGTTTCTAACCCGGTAAAGGGCGTACGGTAGGAGAGTCACCCAGTCCCCACCAGTCTCCATGGTTAATTTGGTAAAGGTCTCTTTTAGGGTTCTATTCATTCTTTCTACCTGTCCTGAGCTCTGGGGCCTATAAGCACAATGTAGTTTCCAGTTTGCCCCCACCGCCTTGGCTACTGCCTGTGTTACCTGCGAGATAAAAGCTGGTCCATTGTCTGATCCTACCATGGCAGGAAAACCATACCTGAGTAAGAGGTCTTCTAGTAGCTTCTTAGCCACCGTCTGAGCCGTT